AGGGAACCGCCAAGCGGGAGGCAGGGGTCAAGGTCCCCCGCAAAACCGTCCTGGGAATAGGTCTCCTTATAGGAGAGGTGGTTGGCACCCAGGGCTACCGCAGGGTAAGCCGTGGGAAGATTTGGGTCTGGATAAGGGCTTATGGCAACAGCGTGTGGACCGGGGCCAGTGCATTTATTGCGGTGACCCGGGCCACATCATTAAATACTGTCCTAAGTATAGAGAGGCCCAATCGGCTGCTCAAGGGTCAAACGGCAGCCGCCGGTAGGGGTAGCAACTGCCCCTACCATTAGGCCATGTGGGGAAAATAGTGCTAGCCGGCAGGAGACTCCCACACCACATGCGCCTATGGCAGAGGTTTGGCCGGTGTCTAAGTAGCTGTCCAGAGACTGCTTGTGTTAGGGTCTCTTTAGACACCTCCCTCACAGGCGTGGCTGAGGAATTGAAGAAGAGGATGCCCGCCTGGGCCAAGATGAAAAAGGATCAGAAAGGACAGCTCATATTAGTAGATGTAGAGATCTTCAGAGGCAGAGTAGGGGCCCTAGTAGATTCAAGGGCCACCCGCAGCTATATGAGTAAGAAAGCGTTGCAGAAGTTGAAGCTGGGACTTAAAGTCCAGAAACTAGCAGAGCCCATAGTTAGTATCCTCGCAGACAACCGTACGATGGTTGTAGAGGATTATGTAGAGGGAGTCCAGGCGTATTTCCGCCTAGAGAAAGATGGGAAAATGGAGAAGGTCCTCCACTCCCTGACTCTCCTCGTAGAAGACAGCCTCCCATTCGACATTGTCATGGGGATGGATTGGGGAGAGGCAGCCGGGGCCACACTCCATTTGAAAGAGCACGAGTGTAGGCTCCCTAGCCCTTCAGGCGAGGCTAAGACTGCCTGCCTATTTCATGTGTCAGGAGTAGAGAACCCCCTGGCACATTCCTGCCTTAGTGCTCCTGCATTCGCAAGATTAGTAAAAAAAGAGCAACTGGAGGAACCGGTCTTTGTTGCCTATGTTAGGCCAGTGACTGAGCCTAAAGAGGAAAAACCCATCGACCGTGCTATTGCCAAACTGCTGGAGGAATTTAAAGACTTAGTTGAGCCGCCGTCCGGAGTAGTGTCGTGGCCCATCCAGCATTGCATTGAAATAGAGCCTGGCAGTAGAACTCCTAAGGGCGCTGTGTACAAGATGTCCACGCGGGAGTTGGAGGAGCTTCGGCCCAGTTCTTCTCCATTTGGAGCCCCTGTTCTCTTTGTCCCCAAGAAAGAGGGAGAGCTACGAATGTGTATAGACTATAGGGGTCTGAATACTATCACAATGAAGAATGTTGAGCCACTGCCTAGGATAGATGATCTCCTAGATAGAGTGCAGGGGGCCAAATACTTTTCTGAGATAGATTTGAAGTCCGGATATCATCAGATAGAGGTACATCCTGATGATCAGTATAAGACAGCTTTCCGAACTAGATATGGGCACTATGAGTTCATAGTGATGCCCTTTGGACTGACCAATGCGCCAGCAACGTTCCAGCGCTGTATGAACAACTTGTTTAGGCCATGGTTAGATAGATTTCTTGTTGTCTACTTAGATGATATTTTAGTGTTTAGTAAGACCCTCCAAGAGCATCAGGGTCATCTCCGGCAGGTCTTGGAGAAGCTGAGAGAAGCTAACTTCAAGATCAATGCCAAGAAGTGCGAATGGGCGAAGACCCAAGTGTTGTATCTAGGCCACGTCCTAGACGGGGATGGCGTCAAGCTAGAAGACTGCAAAATCGCAGCGATTAGAGATTGGCCCACACCGCGTACGCTGACAGAGTTGCGGTCATTACTGGGCCTAGCCAACTACTATAGGAAGTTCGTGAGGAACTTCTCCACTATCGCTGCGCCCCTTCGCAGATTATTGAGGAAAGAAACCATCTGGAAGTGGGATAAGGACTGCACGTCTTCCATGAAGAAACTGAAGCAGGCATTGATAGAGTACCCAGTCCTTAAGGTGGCCGATCCGTCCCTACCCTTTGTCGTCACTACGGACGCCAGCCAGTACGGCATAGGTGCTGTTTTGCAGAAGGACGATGGCAATGGTTATAGACCCGTAGAGTTCGTGTCTGCTAGGATGCCTTCAGAAAAGGTAGCGACATCGACTTATGAGCGAAAACTCTACGCTCTCAGGCAAGCGTTAGACCATTGGAAGCACTACTTGCTTGGGAGGCACTCATGAGACGTTGAGATGGTTAAAGACCCAGGCCAAGATGACACCTAAGCTTACTAGGTGCGCCGCAGAGATAGATCAGTATGATTTTGAGATCAAGCCAGTAAAAGGGAAGTATAACGTAGTTCCGGATGCTCTGAGTAGGAGAGCGGACTACTTTGGAGCAATAGTTCACTATCTGGATATAGGGAAGGACCTGCAACAAAAGGTTAGAGAAGCGTATGCGCAGGACCCTATCTATAGTGACCTTCTTAAGAAAGTAAAGGAGGCCCAAAGACCGAGCCAGATTACCGCACTACTGAGGGGTTGCTCTTTGAGAAGACTAACGTATTTGATCGATTGTGCATTCCCAATAGCGAAGAAATCCGTAGCCTGATCTTAGGAGAATGCCATGACACAGAGGGTCATTTTGGTTGGCAAAAGACTCTGGCCAATCTAATGCACGCGTACACCTGGCCGGGTATGAAGAATGACTGCATAGAGTATGTTCGCAGTTGTAAAGTCTGCCAGCGGAATAAGACTACTACGCGTGCCCCGCTAGGTCTTCTCAGACCCTTACCTAACCCGGATCAGCCCGGAGATTCAGTGTCCATCGACTTCATGGACGCGGGCGTCAAGAGTAGACATGGCAAGAGCCAAGTCATGGTGGTAGTCGATAGATTCAGTAAATATGCTGTTTTTGTTCCTTTGCCTTCAGAAGCACGGACAGAGTTAGTCATTCGTAAATTTTTTGATCATTGGGTCAGTGAGCATGGGGTCCCATTGTCTATAGTTAGTGATAGAGACACCCAGTTCACGAGTCAGAACTGGCAGGAGTTGATGAAAGTCTATGGCTCTAAGTTGCTAATGTCATCTGGCCGTCATCCAGAGACCAATGGTCAGACTGAGCAAATGAATAAGATCCTGCAGCAAGTTCTGAGAATGTACATTAGACCATATCAAGTTGACTGGGATGAGATGCTTCCCAAGGTAGCAAGTGCTTACAACAATAGTGTGCATCTGTCTACATGCCGCACTCCCAACGAACTGCACAAGTCCTTTAGACCGCGCAGACCATTTGAGGGACTTAACCGGGATTAGATCTACAGGCTACCGCCCGGTACTAGGGAGTTCACTATACAGCACGAGAAGGAACTAGCTACTGTTGTAGAGAACCTCAGGAAGGCCCAGCATAGGATGATAAAGCAAGCCAACAAACATCGTCGCCCCTCACAGTTCCAAGTAGGCGACTTGGTCTGGGTCAGCGCGGAAGAGTTTGCTCCTGAGGAGAACATCTTGCAGAAGTTACTGCCTACGTATAGAGGGCCATGGCCGGTTCTAGAAGTCAAGGGTGGAGAGGATGGTCCGTCCTATACCGTTGAGATTCCACTACACCTCCACACCTACCCAGTTTTCCATGCGTCAAAGTTGTTGCCATGCACGGTGAGTGATCAGTTCCCGTCGAGACGATCCATGATCCCACCAGACATGGATGGAAGATATGACATTGACGGCATTGTAGGTGAAGATGTGTTTAGAACAGGAGGTAGGGGTCATCCTCAAAAACAGTACAAGGTCCGATTTGCATATCAGGAACCAGAAGACGACCGATGGTACACCCGAACTGAACTTCTAGAGACAGCTCCCGATATAGTCAAGGCCTATGAAAGAGAGAGGAAAGGTAAAGGTCCTGCCTTGGACTAAATTTTTCTGGGAGGACCTCGAATTTAGGCCGGCGGGAGTGAAACGGTATTCACCAGTTCGCAGTAGCTGATGCAGATCCCAAGGCTCGATCCCTAGATCCCCCCCCCTTACCTGTGTACAGTACCTGTGTCAACCCGTAGAGTTGAACCTGCGACCTGTAGGATCGCCAGTGGTAAGTGGGACGTCGTAAGTTAGAGGGTATAGGGGATTCGAACTATAGACCTGTCGGGTAGGAGTCTAGACACTCCAGAGGTCGTAGCTGTAGACTTTCCGAAAGGTCAAAGTCGTAGCTGCTACTTACCTGAAAGGGCGGAGTCGTAGCTGCTACAGTACCGAAAGGCCAAGTAGATGGTTCTAGAAGTGGCCTTTCGGAGTCAGCCCCAVTTTARGYAGAGGCAAGTGGGCAAGTGGTGGAAGTCCACCACGCAGAGTCAGCAGTCCCAGTCCAGTCAGTCCGGTCCAGTCAAGCAAGTACCGTCTGGGACTGTGTGCACCGGGGGCCAGGGAAACAGGGCAGACCAACGAGTCACAAAAGTATAAATCCAGAGGCCGCGCACAGCCATTCATTCATTCCTGCGGAAGCCATGCGGAAGCACTGTCTCAGTGTCTTTTGCGAGGAGGTCTGCAGTAGGCCCGAAGTCGAAGTGGGCGAGAGTGACGAAGTGTAGCCATAGTGGTAGGGTAGTGGCAGCTAGCGCTGCCATAGCTGTAGCTTAGGGCGAAGTGTGTGTGTGTGGTGTGAGTGTTCCGAGTGTCGCGTGTGGGATATCCAGGGTGATCCAGTGTGTGAACAGTGAGTTGTTGGGCGCTGAGTCGCCATAGCCAGTGGAAGTGAACTCGTACCTGGAAGCCATATCTCTGAGTACTGTGTGGGCGCATGTCGCCAGTTTGCTGTGCTGCTGTTCACATGCATGAAAAGTGTGAATAAGACGAGTCTGATTGATTGCTATCCAGGGAGTGCTGTCATCCAACGATAACCCAGAGAACACAAAAAAGGGGGAAATCACCGTGACAATTCTGCTCCCCCAAGCCTAGCACTAAAAGAAAAAGGAAACAACCAAAACGAGAAGAACAAGAGTAGCTACAACTTTCGCCACATCATAACAAAAGTTATACTGACCTCCTCTCCAGGAGCACCCTCTGTGCCATCTTTGGCAAGATCCACCTCCCATTCGTTGTTGTCTCCCTCCTTGGGCTCCTGCTCGTCATCCAAATCTACATCGAATACAAGTATTTCCTTAGCACTCTTCTCCTCCATGATCAGCTCCCATCTGATCTCCACCTGTTGGGTGAAACACATTTCAAAAAGCAATTTCGAACAGCAGAAAACGTCTTAAATGCCATGGTTGGCAACTGCAAGCACCACATAGCCAGTCTGTAATCCACCATATGGCCATACAGGACATACCAGAATTTCATAGCCTGACTGGGACATGAAGGTGGCCAGGCACAGGAATACAGAAGACACAGGAACTGGATGTAAAAGCAGAGGCTGGTCAGTGCGTCACTGCGTTGTCGTTTTCCTGCAAGAATAACAAGCTCTTTTGTCAGTCAAAATAAGTACTGCAGCAATGGCTCGAGGGTCGCAAGGTAGATAGCTTGAGACTGAGTAGATGGGGAAAGAACCAATGTGCAATAACCCGCTCAAATATGCCTATGTCGTTGTTTGAGGGCCACCCGCAGGCCACAACACAGCCCTCAGGCCCTGCATCTGACCACGGGGCACAGAACCCCTGAAATGTGACTTCAGAGGCCCTGCGCCCGGCAGTTGACTAAAGTCAACTGCCTGTGGGAATATTGAGGCCACGCGTCAGAGTCTTCATGGACCCAGCCCAGGCCATCGGTCAGACACACACTTGGTTGTATGCAGGTATCCAGACAGCATTCCGTCCAAGTGGAAATTTGCAACTATACGAGATCCAGGCCGTCGGCAGCGATTCAATCTGAGCCTACGTAGGTGGGAGACCAGAGGCAGGTCAACTTCGTCAACACTACATATTGACCCTGCCCCTGGGAGTCGACATTCAATCTTGCCTTGCTGACTTGACGCTGGCTTGGCGCTGGCTGGACGCTGGCACGCCGCTGGCTTGATGCTGGCTTGACGCTGGCATTGCGCGACAACGACACGAGACTGCTGTATTTGCGTGCTGGCACCTCTCTGCTTCTGGTGCCAGCTGTCTTCTTGTATGCTGACATGGCACTTGCCACGCTATCTTCGACATTGCTGACGTGGCACATGCCACACTGTCTTCATTGCTGATTGGGATGCGACAAGGAGGGAGATCGGGATCTGTAGGATTGATTGAGTGAGAGAGAGGGGACTTACCTGTTGATGCTGTCGACATTGCGTGCTGCAGAGACGTCATCATTCGAGAACTGTGCCTACATGGCACTTCGTTGTGATCGGATCCCGACACGCTCGTTTCTGGGACACTGTTTGCCGACGTGGAGGGAAGGAGATGCCCGAAGGAGTGGGATTGAGGGGTTTATATCTACGAGGACATTGATGGATAGGGGAACATCTGCGGAAGCCAAGTTGCGTTTTCGACCTCTAGTCTGGGTGAACCCGCTGAGGAGTGGGTTTTGTCTGAGGCTAACGCTGCTGGTTTTGAGGATATTGGGGAGTGGGCTTAGACCATGACTTTGCGAGAATTTCTCCAGAAAAATAAGGAGCGATTCCTCGACAAAACGACCGCCGACAAGGCGTTTGAAGAGCACACAACAATTGGCCAGAAACGTTGGTCAGTGATGACCCGACCAAACACGGACTGAGACACAGCTGATTTCTGAGTTTTGCTCATGGACTGAATGCCTTGCTGAGTTTCCCGCTTGCTACTAAGTTCTCTAAGTCTGCGAGTGGGCACGCTTGCTGGTCTGCATGACTATCTGAGTGCTTGTTGGCTTGAGTATGTGTGTGACCCGCAAGGGCACTTGTTCGTTCATTGGGCCCTCAGGGCCGGTACTTACCTGTGGCCGTGACATTGAGGGTTGCAGCGGGGAAAACACTCAAGTGGCGGGGGAAGAGACCCGCAACACTTGAAGCAGCGGTGAAACACTCAAGTAGCAGGTAGGACGCTACCACACCCCGAAGAGGTAGATGTGCCGGGTACTCGAGCCCGAGCAGAAGAAGACAAAAGTTGGCATTTTTAGAGGCCCAGTAGTTGTAGGCGAGGTCTAGGCGGGTACCGGTCCAACCAGTCTGAGTCTAGGGCCTGTACCGGTTGCTTGGAAGGCCGAGCGGCCTGGAAGTCACCGCCCAAGAGGCAAGCAGGCCGCTATATCTCCAGGTCAGGTGAAGAGCCCAGCCTAATTGTCGGTGTGCAAGTTTGGCGACACACTAGTTGGAGCACTGGCTGGAGCGGCGCTGCTGGGGAAGGAGCAAGGACACGGAGGAGGAAGAAGGCCAGGACTAGGGAGGGGCGCCAGAGGTACTTACCTGGCATGGTGGCAGCCATCTTCATCACCTTGGTGGGCGCTGCAGCAGGAAGGCCCCAGCTGGGGGTAGAGCTACACCAAGAAGCTTCGAGGCAGAGCTAGGCATGGCGGCCTGAGCTAGAGCAGCCATAGCTGCTTTGCGCTGTCCTTTGGACATCAGGGCCCGGCCCGAGTAGTCCGCCATAGCCTCGGCCTATGAGAGTGAAGAGTGAGGGAGGCGGCCATGGCTATGGAGGACCTCAAGTGATACCTGCAGTAGAAGAGGGATTCAGACTTTGATTCTGGTTCAGCCATTCAACATTGTATCATTATTTCTTGTGTGAATAAGAGAGGAGGAGAGTGATTGGCGAAGAAGAAGAGCTTTCTCATTTGTCTATGCTGGTGTACATCATCTTCTTCTTCTTTCTTTCTTCTTCTTCTTCTCCTAGCCCTCTCTCTCCTCTCAAGCTCATTCATTTCTTTTTGCAAGTTGACGGCATTGTACTATCTGATGAATGTGTATCTCGAAATTGGCCAGGATCATAACATTGGTATCAGAGCGGATTCTACTTGCTGGTGAGGGTTGACTTTGCTTCCCTAACCCTAACCTAAGTGGTTGAGGGCAACACTTAGCGTTAGGGTTGGATGTAAAGGAAGAGGGGCAGCGTGGTTAAGGGACGCTGCCCTCACCTGGCTACGTCGTGTGGGGTCGACACTGAACCTAACCAGGTTGCTTGAGAGAGAGATTGGGGTGGCGAGATATTTTGTGGAGACTTCATGCAGTCACTTGAGAGAGCCGACAGTGAGAGGCACTCACACCTGGAATCTGATTCAAGGGAGACACTTGGCAACTTAAGGGCTTCCCTCAAGTAGGCAAACTTGAGGGACAGTGGCCATTCATCATCTACAGACTGCAAGTTGCTACTTTGTTCTTCAGCATGGGAGGGGGACCCGGCGTTGCACTTTGGTGTTGGAGTCGGACCCTCCTAGGAGATAGGACACTAGTGTAGGGGTAGTGTTGAAGGGGTCAGGAGGATCATATGAGAGGGGGGTGAGTTCTATTCATCTCGGGGATGGGGCCACTCAGGTAAGTGCCGTGCACCTACGGGATGCCCATGTATGTGTGCATGGCATTGATTGTCCTGCTGGGGTTATTCTGGGTTTCTTTCCTACTCCTTTGTGTTCTTGATTGTGTGATTGAATGTGTGTGAACTACTTACTCACCTGATGTCACATGCCCAGTTGGCCGATGTACATAGAAACCGAGGATCGCAATGTGATAAAAAGGACTGAATGGACAATGCGGTGCAAGTAGAATCTTAACAAGCAATGTGCATTCTCATACATACAAAATGGTGCTGAATAGCGCAGGGAAGACTTAGATACAAAGCCTGACCTGACCGGGACTGACCTCATTCACGTAGTATCAGATAGCGAAGCAGAATGCTAGAATGCTAATGACTAGCCCAATCAATGTTTSAACGCAGACCAAACATACATCGTATCCATCACCAGGTGTGAAGGAGCCTGGCGCTGTACACAGGAAGAAAGCGCCAGGTCCAGACATACACAGACGAAGAGGAGGGAATCAGACAAACGGAGGGAGAGAGATGGGAATGTTGTCAACACCAAGTCTTTGTCACAAGTCCCAAATAATCGCTCGTTGCAATGTCTGAAGTCCAAAAGTCGAGTCTGGATCCGATGTCACCAAGCTCTTTCTCTCTTCTCTCGTAGTCTGCAGATGCAGTGAAGTCAGATGATGAGAGGGGGAGAAGGAGATGGTGGACTGAGAAGAGGAAGAAGAACTCTCTCTCTGTGTTACGAGCCAGATATTAACCTGTGATGTTGGCGCTGTGCTGCAGGTACCTCGAAGACGGAGCTGGAGCAACGGCGCTGGAGGTAAGTACCTCTGGCCTCCGCCCAATCTCTCTCTCTCTCTAGTGCTATCCTAGCTATGGCGCCCAGCGCTGGAGACTACAGCTACCTACTGCACCCAGCGCTGAAGACTAAAAGCTAACGCAACTACTACCCTGCAGCGCTCTACTACCCTGCAGCGCTCCCTCCAGAGTGCTGCTGCCGAATCCTGAAGACTACAACTGCCTCCTGCCTGCCCGTGAAGTGCATCGGAAGTCCCTATGTACTACCTCTGCCTGCCTCCTGACTGCCTGAAGGGCGAGCCAGGCCGAGGAGGCTGCTCTTGCCAATGCCGAAGTGTGCCAGGGGCTGGCGCTGCAGCATGTGCCGAAACCCTGGTTCGGTGCCTGAGTTTCAGGGCCAGTCGTTCTGATGAACGACCGAAAATGGCCCTTCATTTCAGGCTAAAAAGGCTATTGCCATTTTCAGTCTGAAACGACACAGGGACTGTAGGCCCCTGTTTTAAGGCTTTCGGTCTGAACAGTCACGGGGCCTGTAGGCCCTTGTTTTCAGGCTTTTAGCCTGAAGGACGCAGGGCCTGGAAAATGGCCCTCATGTGCAGGCGCAGCATGTAACACCTGATGGATGGAGAAATGAAGCTGGGTAGCATGGCGCACACGTACGCGTGGTCCGCATACGTGCATACGTGTATGCCCGTGCCCGCGTACGTGTAAGCGCGTACCTCTTTTCAGGGCCCGTGTATTTAGTGGGTAGTGGGCCACTTGGGGGAGCGGTCTTGGCCCCGTAGGCCTAGGGGTGGGCGGGGGTAGACCGCTGGGGCCCAAAGCGGGGTTGAGGGGTGAAGCGGAATGGGGGGAAGAGCATTCCCGCACGATTTTCGAATTCGTGCCGTGAAGGTCTACCCCCCAAGCTGCATCACCCCTCCACCCTGCTGCAGTCCGTCTTGGTCATCCTGGGCGTCGCCATCACCCTGGTCGTCGCCGTCGCCATCGCCATCGCCATCACCCTGGTCGTCGCCGTGGTGCTGCCGCCATCGCCCTGGTCGTCGCCATCTGCCGTGCTGCGCTTGCGCCCAGAGTCGCCATCACTGGTGAGTTCTTTCTTTCTCCTCCTCTTCGTCCTCCTCGTCGCCCTGCCAATTGTCCGCTTCGTCCTTCCCCTCCCCATGACCATCTTCCTCGTTCTTCTACTCTTCGTCATCCTCCTCTTCCTCATCGTCTACACTGACTCTACAACAAGCCAAAAAAAAAAAAAAAAGCTGCTGCGACGATCAAAATCGGAGGTGGAGGAGGAGCACGGAGGGGGAAGAGTCGATATGGTAACGGGGAGGAGGACGAGAAGAGGACGACTTGGCGGACGATGAAGACGAACGATGTGGAGGACGAGGAGGAAGAAGGTCATGGTGACCACAAGGACGACGGAGAGGTTGACTGGGCGGCGGAGTACGACGAAGAGGAAGACAGGGAGGAGGAGGACTATGATGGCAAGGACTCCGAGGAGGGGGAGGAGGAGGGCTAGGAAGACGGTGGTGGCGAGGAGGGAGGGGAGGTATGGGCGGAGGAGGTAGACAAAGATGACGATGGGGAGGAGACCTCTCAAAAATGGTGCAATGGTAGCACAGCGGAAGACTGATATACCAACAATCAGACCCAATCAATGTCGTGACACAGACTGAACATCATCATCATATGCTGTGAATGGCCTGGCACCAAACACAAAGATGAAAGGTGCCAGGCACACAATCATACACAGATTAGGAGGAGGGAGGAGAGACGATGGGAGAGGATATGGAGGATGTCGTCAACCCAAAATGTCATTGATAGTCCGAATCCGAATGTCGCCAAGTCTCAATGTCCCAAATCTCTCTCTCTCTCTCTCTCTCTCTCTCTCTCTCATAGTCCGACGAAGAAGAAAGCAGCCAGAGCGCTGGAGGGGGAGAAGAAGGGCGATGGACTGGAAGAGGAGGAAGAAGAAGAAGATCTCTCTCTCTCTCTCTCTCTCTCTCTCTCTCTCTCTCTCTCTCTCTCTCTCTCTCTCTCTCTCTCTCTCTCGGTACCAGGTTCTGACCTGTGAAAGGTGCCACCTTGATGCAGGTATGGACGCACTGAAGACGAAGCTCGAGCGATGGCGTTGCAGGTAAGTCGTCAGGTAAGTCCCCCGGCCTCCACCAGGGCCGGACCTCTCCCTAACCACCGCTGCAGTAGACTGCAGCTCAAGCTCGTGGCCAGAACCTAACGCAGCGCCCAGCGCTGGAAGACTACTCAGCCCTACCTATCGTCGACTACAACTACTACCTGAAGAATGCCGCAAACTGAGGCCGACCAGCTATATATAGCGCTGGTCCAGCCCCAGGTAGTGACCTGAGTGGAAAGTCTTGGCGCCTAAGCTCGGCGCCCAACAGTACCGTGAAAAGAGTCTGGCGCTTAAACTGGCGCCCGATAGGTACCGCGGCCTGGTGCTCAAACGAAACGGCACCCAGGGCCTGTGCCCCTTGCTGCTGGCCTAACTGGCGCTAATGAAACGACGCGCCAGGCCTATTGCTAATCAGCCTAACTGGACCTACTAACCCCGCTTACCCCTAAGCCTACGGACCAGGCCCTGCGGACGGCCCGTGTTGAACAGAGAATGCCTCTCTCTCTCTCTCTCTCTCT